TGTTCTTGTGGATTAAGAGTTATTTCTTCAACTGAAAGACATGCGGTTTAAATCCACTAACCTGGTTCAAATCTACCAGCTGTTCTGTGGGAAAGAGATGAGCAATCTCCTTCCAGAAGCTTCACAGCCACAGAAAACCTTTTGGAGGTTCAAATTGATTCCAAATTGATAGCACACAACAATAACATCTCAAGAAGAAAAGTAGGACTCTCTCTTGATTAATTGATACATTTCAATGATAATTTGGTGCCCCTAAATTAACTGAGATTAAAATACCATATGATTATAAGCTTCATCAAGACAATCTTGTTTGATTTTTATAGTATCTAAAACTTTGAGCACCTTAACTAAAAAACTCAACTCATTGTCACTGGGTAGGAATTGAACTCATAGCTGATCATTCAATGGATTTTCAGAGGCTACAAAACACAGGTGGGAGGAGATGGTAGATTCAAACCTTTTGCCTCTGGATTGGCAGTACAACCCCTTGTCTACCAATCGACCAGAATTCCCTATCTGGCATACGACAGTCACATAGTAGGTGGTTGTTGTTGTTAAGTGCCGTCGAGTCACAGATGACTCATAGCGACCCTATGAAGGAGAGTCCTCAATGCTTGGGTGTCTTTCACCCTCTCTCCAGACATAGTAGGTAGTCAATAAATATTTGTTGAATAAGAAAATATACCCACAGGCTGATTTATTGCATATTAAGTCTTAAAATTTTAGAAGTACTCTATAAATGTCAACATTACTTCTTCGTGAACTCCCTATTTAATGATCAATCTTTTTTAAAAAAATAGTTTTTATTTTTATTAGTTTTTGTGTGTGTACCATCAAATCGGATTTAACTGGTACCAGAGGAGATTGTCACTCTTTCTCCAGCAGAGCATCCAGTGGATTCGAACAATGATCAATCTTACTAAGTATTTAAAACCTTCTGTCAATTTGTATGATAGATAAAACATGTGACCTAAGAATTCAATAGGCTAAACTTTCTATGAACTGCCAAGAGAACAAACATGCTCATGCTGGAGAGGGTGGAACTAACCTGTTCACTGAAGGCAAGGATTTTGACCCTATGTCACACATTATTTTGGGCATGAAGCCAGGAGGGACCAATCTTTGGAGAAGGACATCATGTTTGGAAGGGTCTAGGGAGCATAGGAGGGGCAGACCTCTGAATGAGATGGGTTGACATAATAACTGGGGTAATGGGAGCAGATGTGTCAGAATAAGTGAGACTGACTCAGGATAGAGCTAATGTGCATAGGGTTGCTATGGGTCATAGTCCACTCATTGGCACATAATAACAACAAATGTCCTGACATGAGTTCATTACATCCTATTAAGGATAATCTTCAGAATTGTATTTCATTTACCACATTTCCATTTCACACTGGCTTTTCAATAGGTAATTATTGGCTTATTTCCCCTAAAAGTGACTGTTAGGCTATCTCCACTGGTGACTAATGATAGAAAGGAGTCTGACAATCACATAAAATTAAAACTATGTTGAAAAATCAATTCATTTGTTGTTGTTGTTGTTGATTGCCTTCAAGTCAAGCATGGCTCATAGTGAACCTATGAATAAAAAGCCTGAGGGCCCTCTACAACTGTCAACATCTATCAAAGTTCATAGAGTTTCCGGAGGCATGTTGCTTAGGAAGTAGTTACCACTCCTGCTTCCATTTTGTTCACTTATAATGATTAAATAATGTCGGCATCCATTAAAAAGAATACCAGAATTTTTTTTAAAGCATTCAATGATTGCAAAATACTAATAATCTCAATAACTCATTAACAATTCCCCATCAAGTAGGCAGAGAGCATAGTGGCCTACTATTACAATTGCCTTCAGATTTGCGGCAAGCTAGGGTAAGACAGATGGTGGTGGTGTAACACTACTCTTTCTTCTTTTGGACCACTACTATGCAAACCATATTCTCTGTTTATGCTAGATTTTGGCTCAAAAAGAGAGTGAACTGAATGAGATTTAGTCTCACAGATCTGGCTCTGTTCTGCACTTGGGCGCGTATTCCGTGAAAAGTTACTACAGAAGACCACCCTCCTGACTTTTCCAGCTGCTGCCAGACTCATCACTCTTTTAATTGCTCACATCCCTTCTCTGTACTCTTACTTTTCCCAACACAATCTAAGGTACTTTGCACTGAAAAATTTTATCATATTCAAATTATTTTGTATTTTTCTCAAACTTGGGATATAACGAATTAAAATTTTTTTTTTAAAAATTTCAAATAGTGATCTATATTTTGTGTTTACTTTTTTTTATTATGACCATATCTTTCAATGAGAAGTTTTTGCTTCAATGACAAAACACAATCAAGCAACAACAATAAACAGAAGTGAAATAGAAAGACCTTTCTAGAACATGACAAAGTGCTTAAAAATTATTTAGATGATGGCACCTCCACTTTCACCCTCACTTTAATAAGAGCACTCAGCTGGACATAGTCTATATACATATCTATGAACTCAAAGCGTTAGATTTGAGTTTGAGAAACATTGGTGGGAAAAAAGGAACAGAAAGAGTGACAGAAGGGAAACACTGCTTTCATGGATTCAGTCATCCCTGCTTTTTACCAGAAAGTAATTTTTATTAGTAAATATCCCAAACAAATAACATACTCTAAGAGGCAGCTTTATAAGAAGGCTTCTCTTCTTGAAATGTACTTCAGGAAAAAGTTTTCTCATATCTTGAGTTTTTCCTCTGTCCCCTCCACTACTCTGTCCTAGCATATGCCTTTTCACTATATTCAATGTATAACACAACTTTTAAAAACATGCTCCAAAATTAGCAATCTTTTTATGTTGCAGTTGCAAAATACTGTATCTTTCAAATTGCTTTTACAAACTTAGATACCAAGCTACCTAGAAATAGAAATAGGGTTGCCCCAAAAACATATTTACTTTTCATGGAAAATGAATCTGACTTTTCATTTGGTATTTAGCATTTCCTTTTGATTTCTGGCAGTTGTTTTCCTTCTTTATTTTCTTTCTCTCACTGCACATGTTGATATTTTTGAAAAATGAGTGTTTGCCAAATTTAGTCCGAGTTAGAAAAGAACATGGGGGGAGGGTGGATACTAAAATTTCTGACCAAAGAAACTAGCAACTGATTTCCACTACAGAGGTCGGCTATGCGCCTGGTTAAGCAATTAAATTTAAATTATTCTGATTGATATTCTAAATCATGCTTGGGGAAAATGAGATTTTGAGACCCAAGACATCTAGAATAATTTTTATTTTTCACTTGCACCTAAGGGGTGGTGGTGGGGGGGAGCCCGCACATACAGAAGGTAATGGGAGTTTTCTTACTCTCTTGTGATCACTTTTCACTTTGTCATTTTACACTAGGACCTAGAGAAAAAAATTAATATACTTAATAATTTATATTACAATGCAGGGGAAATTGTATTATTTATCTGGGATATGTCTTACACATTCAGAGAAGTTTTGTTTTTTTATCTAAAAATAATTGATGTTAATCTGTAATGACCAACTGTTATTCAGTATGGTTTAAACACAAAATTAACAACTTCAAGACCTTTAGAAGCATAGACTATTTATTTTTAAAACACTGTTTTTTCACTTCCAGCTTCCACTACTAATATTCATATGGTATCTCTTTCGTAGATATGTCACATGCATATAAAAATTTGGGTTTAGTACACTGGCAACCTACATGACTATTGGTAAAGACTTTTTGGTGGGGTTTGTATTAAACAACATCATCAGTTATTAGAGGAATGAGTTTGTGTAAGAAAAATGGTGCACCCAAGATGACTGCAAGTCACTCTCTCACCTTCATCAATAAGTTGAAACAGTATGAAAAATATCACTTTGCTTTAGAACACTTATGGTCTATTTGAAAAGAAGTCAAACAAGAAACCAGGCAGCTTTAGGTAGACTAAAGGAAAAACATTAAAATTTCATAATAGTTTTAGAATTTTCTCGATAAATCCACATTTATATCAGAATACTATTCCAGACAATGGAAGCCCTGTGTAAGGAAAATTATAGCGGCACAAAAACACTGTAGACATCCAAATTTTAAAAGCATTAAACATTAAGGATAAACACATACTTTGCTCATTTCCTTGGATTAAGAATGGTATTTTAGAAAGGTGTGCGCTTTCCCCATTATACCCATCACATTTTAAAAACTCCAATTTCAATCTGCATGCAAGCAAGAAGGATGTTTGGCTTGTGTTTATTTGCATGGGTTGAAACAAATCAAAGTTCTGAGTACAATTTATGGGAAATATCTAATTTGTAAAGCTGTTTACATTTCAACTGACGGGACTTCAAGGTTAAGAATCATCATGCTACATCTTAAGTATTTATATTTCAGATGTTCTGATTTAATAAGAGAAATATGAATATACTTACTTTTGTTTAAGTTTTGACTAAAGACTCTTAAAACTCTCATATGTAATTACCCTTATTAAATTATTGTAATGGTTGCTTTGGGGGCTAGTATATACTTAGTACTGATGAATCCTGCACTGTGTTTTAGTCTAAAAAGACCTGGTTATCATTAAGAAACAACAAATTAACCTCAATGTGCAGCCCTTCCTTTTTTCTTTTTTCTTTTCAGAAGTAAGTTTTAAAGACTGATGAGAACTAGAAATCATCTGAATTATAGAATTTAGACCTCTCATGTTAATTCAGCCACAATCTGTGACTTAATATAAATGTGTATTAAATGTGTGTCATTTTTTTCTCCTTTTAATAAACAGACCTAAAAGAGTGCTATATAAAATAGGTAGCAAAATTATTGGTCTCTACTTCCAAACAGGCTTTTCTCCCCCCTTGGAAATTGCATGCCTCACAAAACAGTGTATTATGTTTGATGTATGGCTAGGAAGTTGTGGAAATGGAGGCTTTTCTGGTAGCAAAAGGGTTAAGTTCTTTTTGCTTTACCAGTTTCAAATTACAATGAGAAGCCTCTTCTTTCCCAGCAGGGTTGTGCTTACATTACTCTTTAGATCTGTCTTGAAGAGGGCTGGTATATTTGTGCCGGCTGAAGGTGGAGTTAACAGTAAGAAGGAGAAAGGGATTGAATGGATTTACAGGAAGGTTTTTCAAGTAAATTCAGGCAAACACATTTACTTGAACAGTACAACCTTGAGTCTTACTTTACCCTAAGACGATATAAAAGATGTTAAAGTTATCACCAGGCTGCCGGACAAATATATATTCCAACACCAAGGGGCAGATCAACATATATCTGTGATACAGAAATCAGAATTTGTCTTGGAAAGAGCTCAAGGGTTGAGAAGAACTCAAGATCAAGGGAAGATCACCTTGGGAGCTACAGTTTATCAGAAGATCAACTTTCGTTAATTCAAATACCAAAGGCCTGATTACCATAAATTCATATAGGAATGCATAGGTCATCTGATCAAATCATTTTAGCCGTCTTCTGCTACATCCATGCAGCAAAAACTCTTAACAACTGTGGATAATTGGAAATTCGAGTTTCAGCTTTCTTAGAAATAACTACTCTTGACACATTCTGCAATATTTAAAATAGGACAGGAGAATTAGGAAGGATGTTGTGTTCGGAAATGTCACTGACATGAAGAATAGGTAAATTTGTTTTTTCAACTACTAGGAAAGTGTATCTCTTAGGAACTTAGAATTATTATTTTTTTTTTTTAAGAGGACACGAAGGACTAAAAATATCAACTTTTCCTTTTTGGACAAAAATGCATCTGACTGTATTTTTACTTAGGGGTATTGTGGGTTTCCTCTGGAGCTGCTGGGTTCTAGTGGGTTATGCAAAAGGAGGTTTGGGAGATAATCATGTGCACTCCAGTTTTATTTATAGAAGACTACGGAACCATGAAAGACGGGAAATACAAAGGGAAATTCTCTCAATTTTGGGGTTACCCCACAGACCCAGACCATTTTCACCTGGAAAGCAAGCATCCTCTGCGCCTCTCTTTATGCTGGACCTATACAATGCCATGGCCAACGAAGAAAACCCTGAAGAGTCGGAGTATTCAGTCAGGGCATCCCTGGCAGAAGACACCAGAGGGACAAGAAAAGGATACCCAGCCTCTCCCAATGGGTATCCTCGGCGCATACAGTTATCTCGGACGACTCCCTTGACCACCCAGAGCCCTCCACTAGCCAGCCTTCATGATACCAACTTTCTGAATGACGCGGATATGGTCATGAGCTTTGTCAACTTAGGTATGTGTGCGTTTGTTTGCTAATCTATGCTGTTACAAAGGGGAACTTTTTTCTAATGGTTAAGTAGCTGCCTGGTAGTTGGTCATGTTTATATAAAGTCATTTTCTATAAATCTTTAGCTTCTGCTTCCTTTCTTTCATTGACGTGAGATCTAGCCTTAGGTGACAGAGTCAAACATATATGGTTTTAATATGAAAATCTAAAATGAAGCACTATGGTTTTGGTGGATTTGAGTCTCATTACATCTTGTTAAACTTTCAACCTGGCTTAAATAGAGAAATAAACAGGCAATAATCTGAAAAAGGGAAATTCAGAAGAGGGTTAAATTATGAGGGAAAGTACAAACATTTAGAGGTGGAAAAGTAAAAGTAGGAATTTAAACTTTTTTGTTGTTGGTTTTATTAATTTGAAGAACATATAAATGTGTATTTACATGCTACTTTAGAAGAGTATTTAAAATTCTCATGTAAGGAAGACAACTACTGTTGAAAATGTTGATGTGCAATTAATAGCACAAATGATTACTATTGAGGAATTCTGAAATTTTGTTAAAATATTTTGAAATGGAATTTCATTTTTTTAAAGTGTAATGATTAAAATGTGTCATGACTGTTTTTTTGACAAGAGAAACAAAACATGATGTTTTTACCTTATATAAAACTCCCTTTTAAACATGGAATAAAAAATTAGTTTAAAATTTGTGTGATTAGCAGCACTTTTAGGGAACCAATTTTTAAGCTTTTTAAAATTCTGTACTAGAATTTTTATAGTGGTTTAAAATATTGACAGAATATATATGCAAACTTGAAATTGTAAGTCTTATTTATAAAATATTAGTGATCAATATTCCCTCATGTACATTAAAGAACTTACCAATTTAAAATTATTTTATACCAAGTTACCATGGAATTCTGCTTAAAAAAAGGTGCTATACAGGTAATAATTTTCTTTAAATGTTTCAGTAGTAAAAAATTATTACCTTTATAAAGGCAGTATTTTTCTTTAAGCATTTCAAGGTGAAATTTACTATCTTCTTACATATTTAAAGAAATATAACACAGAATAAATTTTATTATTGAAGGCTAAGTAGTTCATTAACATATTTAACCAACTGGGAAGAATTCACAGCTTTACAATGTAAGAGCTTTTAAAACTTTGTTTAAAAAGTTTAATCTGCCTTGACTTAAACTTGACATGTTTTATTATATACCTAATTAAACCCTTCCTCATCTAATATCTCAAAGGAATTATTCTCTAAAAAGTCAGATAACAACAAATCCTAGTAGTATATGGATACCTCTATGATAATGTTGCTTAATATGCTCTCCTTATTTGTTTTTAGCAATCCTAGTATGAAGGATAAGTAGTTGCCTAATAAACCATGTATTTCAGGTTAATAGAGACAAAGCTATTAATACTAAGTTTTAACTAGTCTTCATTGATTGCATTAAATAGGTCTATTCCAGGCCTTTTCTCTCATATATAATTAACGGACGGCATGTGAAACTTTAAATAATTTAAAAAATCAACTTAATTCTAAGTTAATTTAAACGTTTTTGTGGGTCCCCACCCCTAAGACCAGTGATATGTAAATATGACACATGTTACAATCTGTGGCATTCCTAAAGTACAATTTATTTGCATTTTAATTTTAACTGAATACTGAAAAAATTTTCTACATAATATACATTTTCATCAAAAATCATTTACCTTATCTGAGATCTGACTTGGAAGAATATGTTTTGTTACATACTAAAACATAATCTCAGTCATGAGTTTCTCCTATTAATGTTTTATTATACTTGAATATTTTGATTAAAATTTATTTTCTAGCAAAGAATAAAGTCTGATATTTTGAATCTGTCATTGTTTTTGTACATCTACTAGAGTAAGAAAATAAAAAAAAATTATAAATATCTTACTCAGTTATTTCTAGAACCCATTATTTTTTCTTTAAAAAACACTTAACAACATTTACATTAATGAAATTTTAGTTACATTTGTTTGTATTAACAAAACTCTATTAACATAACAGCTTAATAAGTATATAGTAACTGTGTTTGGTTCTTTCACTCTAGAGAAGCAATATTTTATATTACTTTTGGAAAACTCTATTTTTATCACCCATGAACTGCTCAGTAATGCTTTATCCACAATAATAAAAATGAAAATTTTCCCCTTTCTCTAATATTTGTGAACTAAATGAAATGTCTCACATAAAACTGACAAATCAATTCTGATACTAGGTAAATTTCTCCTGGTAATCCCTGAAGAAAATTAAACCATAGCTTTATTATGCTTAGGTGATGCCTTCTAATATATCCAAATCTTGGAACTAATCACTACATAGTAAATACTTCTTGTATTACTTCCATAGTAAAATAGGCCGAAGCCCACTCACAAAGGTGCAAGACTCAGATCACTATTAACTGCACTCAGAGTTTCAGTGTTGTTTTAACATGACGTTCAGTAGTAATTATTACCTGAAACCTGTTTCATATTTTGAAAGTCTCAGGACACTTTCACCTTGTATGATTAGTGACTTAAAGGGTACATATGTAATGAGGACTGTGTGAAAATGAGGCAAGTCAGCAATAGACAAGGGATTTGTATTGAAGAACTCAGCTGGATAGTTAAACATGTGAAAGAATCTGTTGACATGTCCTATAATGAGATGAATTATATTAAAAAAAGATCTAAAAGCATTAATCGGTTTTAAGTGGGCAATGTTGATATTTTCAAGTGAAATGATAGACTTTCTGCAATTACCTTGTAATCTAATTTTTTCTCCCTAATGTGAGTGTTAGGTGAGTTATTTTTTAAAATATAAATATTTCTCATGAGGGACAAGTTAACAGAGTTCAGACTTTATTGAATCATATTTACAAAAAACCAGCCTGGTTTCCAAATCACGGATGAGACAATTTTGGGGTTCATAAGTGAAAAATAAAATGAAAATTCACCAAAAGAAAAAAAAAATGCAACGTAAATTAGTTGCATTAAGACCAATGTAAATGTGTATGAAACTAAGCATGCTATTGTGACTTTTCAAATATTTTTGTGATTTGTTCAATTTGGAGAAACAATTTTTTAAAAAAAATTTTTAGAAACATTTTTTAACTATTATGAAAAGAGAAACTTTCTATTTTGTGGTGATCATAATTCTTAGACTCATTGTATCTGGCTTTTACAGGTTGACTTCTCTGTTTTGTGCCTAAGTCTTAAGAAACTTAGTGAATTTCACTTGGTCAGTATGATATTATTTTGCTAGTATGAAAAATATCTTTCTGATAATTTCATCCTTTCCTTTTCTTCTCTATTTAAAAAAAATACCAAAAGCTAGTTTGGATATCAAACACCTGCAATAAAAAATAGAATTGATTACAAAATTTGCTTGCAATATTTAAGCATATTTCCTGTCTACAAAACCATTCACTGTATACTCAAGAGCTTTTTGTAAGAACTCCATTTCTACTTGATTGATTGGTCATTGTATCATTTAAATGACATGACATTATACATCTTTTAGAAAGATAATAATATAGTAAATAGAAGAAATTTGGTTCTTTTACTTATTGTGAATATGATTATGTCCCTTTCCCAAAAGAAGAACTTTGGTGATAATGGTGTTTTGCTTACTTGTCAGTTGGCCTGGTGTCAGATGACTTTAATGTCTATTACATAAGAATACGTGTTCTCAAGTGTAAGAGTACAAAATCATGATACTCAAGACTTTTTAAAAGTACTTTTATAATAGCCTTATCAACTTGTTAGATCCAAGATAGAAAGAATGCCTTTAAAAAGTTGAAATGCAAATTGCTAAGTTCAACTGCTTTCCCCCTGTTTCACTAAATCCTTGAACAAAACACCCAAACAAAACAGCAAGCTACTTAGATTCTCATATGGCCATTTTGAAAGACATCATTGATAATACTGTTGTTTTTGGCTCTCTGGAGTGCCCAGTTGAGAGGAATTTATATACAGATATACCTAAAGATGCCTATCTATGTAATCTCTCCAACAGGGTTATTAACACTTCTGTAACATAAACACATCCATAAACACATGCCAGGGTTGGGTTTTTTTGGGGGGTATGGGGAGTTGGGGGAGGGATGGGACGGAATAAAGGTGATGTAAAAGCCATCAACTAGTATTTATTCACAGAGCAAAATTTAAATAAGTAAAGCTAGTATGGAGCAAAGCAACCAGCAGTACTTAAAACATGTCTCTTAGGAAGAGTGAAAAAAGGTCTGTAGAAGTAAGACTTGCTCTTACTTCTACCAGTGAACCTTTGGATTCCTAAACGTGTCCCAAAGGAATCTTGTTCTCCCAAACTACTTATTGTCAAAGTACTGCTATGGCTTGCAGAGAGAATTGTAGTCATACATGGTTTAATGAAAAGATTTTGGAAGTGAACACTCACAAATTGCCAGATTTGAACGTTTAATAAGAATTGACAGCTGAGAGTAAGACTGATCACATAGTCTAAGTTTGGGGACAGCATCACCTACCACACCCAGTCTCTTCCCTTTCATTCTTGGTTTTCCCTGTAACATCAGTCTTCCTCCTCTGCCCACCCCACCCCCCAAAATTCTTTGGCCTTTTTTCCAGAGCCCCTTGGTCTCCCTAGCCCCAGGCCCTCTGGCACTCTTCTCCTCACTGTTCCCACCCTCCCCAGGGTCAGCCTTGGGTCCCAGTCTCTTCTTTGCTGGAGGCTTGGATTAGCTGAAAATCAATTAGTTACAGTTTGATCATTTGGGTACAGTCTCCTGTTCCACCCACTAAAACAGCCCCTGGGGCATCAGAACTGCTCTGGCATTGGCATCCCTGGTAATTGTTTCCCTCCACCTATTCTTCTCTCCTTTCTCACCTCTCACTGAGGATCCTTTTCACAGAATTTATAAACAAAATTCAAAAGAAGGACTCCTAGGGCCAACTGAAATGATTCAATATAGAATCATACTAATACAAATCAAGCATGCAATTAATTCCCTTTTTGT